GTCAACTTATATCAAATGTTTCCACATTAACACCTATCTGCTACACTTTTTATCTATTTTTTATTTACAACTACATCTCAAATATAAAATGAAAACAAATAAATAATTTATTGACCTGTAAATAAAAATGCAGAACAGATGTTTGGAGTGGTGTCTACAAATAACAACAAAAATAATAATTAATAAATAAATAAATCAAACATTAATAATTACTTTGTTGATTTAGAGTATCTTTCATGTGTCTCTCATTTCCACTCAACACAAGTCAATGTTGTATGTAAAGCGTGGTTTCAGTTCACAATTTGCGCAACTTCTAACAGCCCCAGAGCTCAGAGATATCTAGAAGCAAATTCCTGATGAAAAGTAGATCATATGACTACAACAAATACAAATCTGCACTATTTATGCTAACATAGAGCTTTTTAATATAGTGTTTTGTGTGGATTCAACTGAATGTGAACACAAATTAAACTACCGGGAAAAAAATAGATCCTTTGCTGCCACCCTCTGGAACAATTTGTGTAGGCACTGGCTGGTGTTGCTTTATTAGCACGTGTGCTCCAGCTACATGCTTCAGTTAGAAGGTAAAAGGTTAAAGGTCATAATTTTATTTTTAAAAAAAACTAAACAAGTTTCTTTATTTGACTGCAGAAGAAGGAATCTTTTCTCTAAAACCAACATGACAGCATGACTTCAGTTTGTAAAACTTCACCTGAATGAAGCAGAAGACATTGTCCTTTGGACGGATGAAACCACAGTTGAGACGTTTACCCATAATTCACAGCACCATGTTTTGTAAAAACCAAATATCTGCTGCTAACTGTGAGGCATGGTGGTGGAGGGTCGATGGTTTAGGCAGTCATTGAGACGACCATTAACTCCTCTGTAAACCAAAAGGTTCTCAGATGTGAAACCATCTGTCCAGCAGATGAAGCTTGGACCAAACTGGGCCCTGATCCAACAGAACAATGGGCCTCATGCAAGAACATGTTCGTATTCTTATCCTAAATTTCTCTTACTTTTGTTCGTACAAAGGGTTCGTACGAACATGTCACGTCAGATTCAACAAACTCTTCTATCTTCAGGAAAAGTGTGTAAATGAGCTGCGTAAATTCCACATGTTCGTATCCAGCTGCTCATGCACGTGAGAGGAGATTAGCATAATTACCACCCCAAAAACACCATATAAGGCTGTTTCCTGCCTCAGATACAAGGAAGTGTCCATTCATGAAAAATGACAGCAAAAACTAAAAAGAAGAACTTTACGAGTTCAGAGATTGAAGTCCGTCTGTCAGAGATCCAGAAAAGAAAATCTGTCATTTTTAGCAGCTCAGCTGTGGAATAAAAAGAGCTGCTAAAAGTATAAACAACTGTGTTAAATCATTTTCATTTATTCAGAAGCCACACCGTTGCACACCGTATGCCCCCGCGCATGGTCTCAAATGGTCTCAGTTGCAGTTCTGAAATAAGCATTTTAAAATGATTTCAAAATAAGTCGTACTTTGGAGAAAACCCAGGACTCACTGGAGGGATTATGTATCCCCTCTGGCCTGGGAACGTCTCGGAGTCCCCCAGGACGAGCTGGAAGGTGTCGCTGGGGAGAGCGGGGTCTCTCTGCTGCTGCCCCCCGCGACCCGATCCCGGATAAGCCGGCCGGATGGACAATTTATATTGTTAGTCTAAATTATTACATTTTAAATTATAACTCTAATTCAAGCATAATAGCCTATTGTCAACATAATTATGGAGTGTGATTTATTTTCAACTCTAAATATCTTCAAACTAACTAAATATAAAGTTATTAATAAAGAAAACCCGTCTGGATAACAGCAGACTGACTGTACGTAAAATATACGACAGGTCTGGACCACTCGTGAATTTTGTTCGTATCTGAAAAAAATCTTAGAATACGAAAACATTGGTGAATGCCACAAATTCTCCTAAATCACTCGTACGCACAACTTAAGAACAAATCTGTGCGTACGAACGGTTCTTGCATGAGGCCCAATGATCCCAAACACAGCAGCAAATCTATAACAGACTGACTGAAAGAGACAATAATCTAAACCACACATACTTTTTAACAACAAACCCTGGAGCTGTTCAGTTTAAACTCTTTAAAAAAATCCATGAATTGTTTTTTGTCATGTGTGGATTCTCATGTGTGACTTTAGATTGGACATGTATCTGAGCTTTTATCCACACAGTTCACACACAAACGGTCTATGTCCTGTTTTTTCTGTTTTGACTGGAGTGTCCTGTTTGAACAGGAGGAGCTCCAACCTTCACTTGGTGCTGATGAAGCTGTGACAACAGAGGCTTCTCTTCATCATCTTCACTCTTCAAAGGGTCCACAGTGAAAGCCTGGTGTCATCACTCTCCTTTTTCACATTAAGCTGCTGTCTCTAGACTGCTCCAAGGATCTTTTCCATCTTCTTTTATGATGAGGTTAATATTCCTCACAGTTTTCCAATTCTCACCCAGGTGCCATAATAAATAATTGTGTAGAATAAAGTCTTGTTGACATCTGGAGACTTCAGAACCCATATAAAATATAAATTCCATGATAAAATGTAATACCACAGAAAAAATCAAGAATTGATCACTTTTATCAAACAGTATTAAGGTTATCTGCTGCTCCATTAACTCACCACTGTTTAATTACTCTGCACATAAAATAAAAAAACAACTGTGCTCAACATGACAGGTATAGCAATTTTAATTCAAGTTTATAAAACATGAGGCTTTATCACAGACAATCCAAGCTCTAATGACAAAAATTACAAAAAATAAATAAATTAAAAAAAAGAAAGTGAGGACGTTCCTCCCTAAGGAAATGGGAGCTTTTAAAATATCTGATAATAAAATAACTAGTTCTTATACAAGAAATACACATATACTCTAATAAAAGTAATCCCAGAGTCTGATAGACAAAAATGATAAAATTTTCAAGCAAGCCTAACTCAATCACCATAAAACACACAGAGCGTTTATCAGATCTCTGGCAAATTTAATAGAAGAAAAATTCAGCAAACAGTACTTCTGTGGATTGGGAAAAAGAAGGCAAAAAACAAAACAAACAATTAACTTTTTTTAAAAGTATAAAAGCTTTTATATAACTGTAGATGTTTCGAATGTTCCAATAAGAAAGCAATATCAACAAAAATACTTAAGTTTTCCATAGTTCAAATTTCTCCAGTGAGGAATGTAATTCTTAATTTGCAGAAATTAAGGAACATATTGCAAAGTTTAACAGCAGCATCGAAGAATGGTGCAATGATCAAATAACAATTCAGAAACTTGATATCAGTCTCTGGATTATCCCCAAATAAAGCCTCTTCAAATGGTTTGACAGGAATTTTTTTACAATCATTACTGGGAAGATGTCAGACTGCTGTTGTGTCAATTTGTATTCATCTTTGAAACCTTCCCCCCCCCCACAATGCGACAAGGCAATATCTCAATTCCCAAACCTGGAAAAAATACCAAAATAATAGACTGTTGACTTTTCAAATCTCTGACTATAAATTGTCCACTTACATATATACAGACTTATGAAAGGAGTTTAATTAGTGAAACACAGTCTGGTTTCTCAAAGACGATCAATTCACAACATCTGCTTGCTTATGGACATGTAGAATATATAGATATTATTGAGGCTGACAGACCTCCCCCCTCCCTTTTTTTGGACTTCTATAAGACCTTTGACTCACTAAAACATAACTTCCTTTTCCAAGTATTGGAACATATTGAATTTGGTACCAAATTTAAAGATGTAGTTGCAGGGCTCTAAACGTATGTGAAATGTTTTCAATACATGACGGCTCCCTAGAGGACATATGTGGTATTCCAGTTAAATCCAAACTAAAGTATTTAGGAATAACAAAACACTAAACAGATATGTCAAACATTAAATATTGAAAGCAAGCTGGAAGAATGTCAATCCAAACTGAACCAATGGTTACAAAGAGATCTGTCAATAATCGGACAAATTTATCTGGCAAAGATGTCAAGATGCATCTATCCAACCTATTCTCATGCAACTCCCAATAAAAATAATTAAAATAACTTTTAAAAACTGTTACGGCCAGAGGTCTTTCTTCTATGTTTATACTAAAGCATGGAATGACATTCCTCAAAACATAAAGTCCATTTCAAAACTACAGCCCTTCAAGAAGAATCTTGTCTGCCATCTGCTGGACACTTTTTGTTGTGCTCTATTTAGACGTCCGATTTTGCAAATACTGCCTTTTTGAAATTTGGTATGCTTGTTTGTCTTTGTGTCTATGGTGTAATAATAATGATGTGATTGCGATGCTGAAATTCTGAGTGTTTTATGTGCTGCAGAACAGGAACCTGCTGTAAAACAGCAATTATGCTGAGTCAGGTTTGATTTTTAATAATCTTTTCCTGTTAAATAAATCAAATCAAATCAATTAAATTTATTAACCAGATGAACGTTAGTCATTTGGAGAAATAAAACCCACTAAATAAAAAAAGGAAATATGAAGGAAACCAGTTTATGCTCACTGCAAAATTCAAATGTTTGTTTTGCTTCTGTCCGACCTAAAATCTTCAGAACTTTATACATCAAATCATTGTTTTATCAGCTTACATTATTAAAAAAGTTTGAAATTATGAAATATTGTGAAAGAGCTGATTATATGTAGCTTCTTGAACTGATACATATATTGCCTTAAAAACAAGGCAGCTGAGACCAGGAAGTTCAGCTGTAAGAACAAAGAGTTTAACAAGAATCCAACAAAGAAGCAGGAGAAACCACAGGAGTTTTCTTATGAAGAGGGTCTAAACTCGCTGCTGGAGTCGTTCTGGATTATTTACCGTCTTGAGTGAGAGTAAATTCTGGTAATATTATAATGGGATGTTTAAATAATCAATTATTTAAAAAAAAAAACTAACAGAATTGTTTACATCCTCCTAAAGTGAAAGAAGCTGTTCTGTTCATGAATAACTGTAGGAATATGCAATAAAGCAACAAGTCAGGTTCTTATTTTTTTTAATCATTTTGTTGACATTTTAATCTGTTCTGAACAACCAGTCCCTGATAAGAACAGCATTTTCCCTTTTTTATCACTAAATAAACAACTCAGCTTTAATAATACATTGTTTTTCTATAGGTTTTCAAAAAGGTAACATACATTGCACACATTTACAATGCCATAATAGTTCTCTACAGGAAGTTAATGCAAACTGAATTTTGAACAAAACACTGCACATTAACACACGACCCTACAAGCAGGAAGACTGTAAGGACTCACATTCAGAGGTGGCACAGAAAAACTGTGTTTTCCTTCTCACTCACTCACCCACACACACACATACACACACGCACGCACACGCACACGCACTTGCTTCAGTCATTTAGCTTCTTCAAAAAATACTGCAACTTTTATTCCTTCTCAAAAAAAAGTGCCATTACTGTGATTTGAAAGGCAGAATCATTGCACTCTGATCTCGTAGACAGGTAATACTTTTTCAATGAGAATGATAAAACTAAAATATTACACACTTACCTGCATCAGTGACATTCAAATAAACTAAACCAGAAAACATCCTTCACTTAAACACATGCAGCAAAAATTAGATTTTAGCTTCTGCTCACTGGTCCAGGTTACTGAAAGTGACCTGCTTGTTTTAATGAAGCAGCTTTCATCAGTTTAATTCATTTTTAACTTGGCGTTAGTTGCTCAACTGAATCAGATTAGAGAAAAAAACAAAATCAAAAGCCAGTTAGTGTTTTTAAAATGTCAGGTGGTGGACTTGACAGCAACACAGATCAAAGTCTGGGTCAGAACTGCAGACACTGAAACGGACTCAGTTAAGACAGAAACAGCCGAAAACAGATTAAAGCTCAGATTCTGATGGTAAAAATATGTGGGTGTTATAAATCATTCATTTAATGATTACGCTCACAAGTCTCAGCTACAGTTTTACTCTCAGCTAACTGACATGAGAATGACTCTAATGTTCATACTTATATGATTGAAAACAAGATTTATGCTTCAAAACAAAGAATCCATGAAGAAATGCACACAGTCTGACCTTGCAAGTCCAAGTTTGAAACAAAGATGTTGCCTAATCTGTCATGGCTTGTTGTTTATGATGGAGAGAGGTCTCAGCTACTTGTTAAATTTTAGCTCAATGACTTTAACATCGACTGATTTGTAGCCTTTTGTGTAGATAGCCTCTCGAAAGGATATCAGATAATCAGACTTGTGTCCACTTTTAAAAAAAATCCTGCATTTGTCACTCTTCAAATGCTCTTTACTGACTAGATGAGCATATAAACCAAATAAACTTCTTTTAAAAAGCTCTGCAGTCACAGCGATCGACGACACACTTTGATGAGAACATGTGGCCGCATTCAGACGCAAACTTTGAATAGCACAATTTTTCACATTTACACTCTTTCTATTGCACTTTGCATAAGAACAGGCAAACAAAGACACAACAAATGCAACCAGGTACAGTGCGTTTTGTTTGTAGGCACATCAGAACATTCAGTCACAGCAAGAGGACACGTTAAAGCCCCAATCTGGAGTATTTCTCAATGTGCAGCTGCAGAATTGAAACGGAGGGGAAAACGGCTGATGGTACAAAATAACTGGTGATATTAACAGGGTGTTTGACTTCAGAACATTAATTCAATTTCAGAGCAGAGTAATTCAAGCACAGACTTAAAACTGATCCACTGATCGGTGACAACTTCTTTGGCTTTGCTTTGATGTTCTTCTTGTTTTTGGCACGTGTGCTCAGGCTTCCCTTAAACAGAGATCTGTGGTCTCAGCAGGGTTCCACCTACTAAGGTTAATATTTAAGTAAAACACCAACAGTGGTCCACAGCCCGTTTGCACAAATGTTCAAAATTTAAAAGCAAAAGGAACAAACTCAACAATTTACAGGAAGTAGTTTGAAAAAAAGGCTGTGTGTGGAAAACCTTCATACAACCACAGCAAATTTATAATCTCATTAACAATATAAGAAAACCTTCATAATCAGCGTTGGTTAAAATGTACCTGCGTAATGTCAACCAGATTAGGGCTTTAACAGGAATATATGCCACAGTATATTGCACGTACAGTACAACTCATAATTAAAAACATGACACAAAGGAAGGCAGCAAACGTCACCATCGTTAGTCTGGTCCGACAGTTTATAAAACGGTAACAGCTTCAGCCACTATCCATTTTCTTCATCACTGTCCCTTTGTTTTTCTTTGAGCTGTTAGACTGTTTTTGAAAAATGAGCGTTTTATGGGTGGATTGTTTCAGCCACCTTCCTGGGAGAACAGCTGAACAGTTAAATGCAGAATTTGGCCTGATGAATAATAAATGGATGAGTAGTAGAATGTGTGGGGCTGTGGGCTGGAAGATGAGCTAATCTACCTACAGAGGTGTTCCTACGTCCTGGGCTCATTCATGTCTTGGTTTAGTGAACCCTGAAGCCTGCAGTCAGCCCTGGTGTGTCTCTGTGTTCTGCTCTGCGGTTGGACTGTTTTCAGAGCGTTTAAAGTGTGGGGGACGTGTAAGGCCTTCCTAATCGCAGAGGGGTCCGGCTGCACTTTGTCTATTTCTGTCGTGTCTTCCATGTCTTGTGTCAGGGAGTTTGGCTTGGTGTGGGGCACGAGTGGGCCGCCCGGGTCTTTCATAGCCATGCTGGCCCCGACCATGGCTGGATAACTTCGGTTCCTCCTCAGGCCTGTGTTTAAACCTGAAATCCCCCCGCCCAGTGCGTTGTTAGCCATCCCAGTGGCACCAAACGGGGCTAACAGAGCATTAGCAGCGGAGCCTGAGGCTGAGAGAGGGGATAGTGTGGGGAAACATTTCAGTTTGTCCACAAGCCCGAGGCTCATTATCTCAGTTTGGTTGTCGTCACCCACCGGAGCGATACCTTCTCTCTCCAGTTCCCCCAACACTTCCCTCAGAATGGTGCGAGCTGGTTTGGACGCCAAGAAGGCGTCGCGATACGGTGGGTCATCGTTGACAGGACTGAACTGGAACGCGGGACGAGCTGCAGCGGAGGAGATGAACTCGGAGGGAGGGGAGCCGGGCGGGGTGGAGGGCCGCAGGAGGAGGCTGTTGGGACGTTCCACCGGCGGTCTGACTTCAATCTCCCCGGGTCGAGCGGCGCACCTCTGCGCCTGAATCCCTCCCATGACTGTGGACGCCGCGCCGGCGTCCAACGCTCGGTCCCAGCTGCAGGGGTTGTACACGGAGGCCGAAATGCCCCGCTCCAGCAGGAGGCGCGCCAGACCCAGGGAGGTGCTGGTGGTCTTGGTGGAATCCCGCAGGTTGGTGGAGGACTCGGCGAGGGCGTGGGAAAGGGAGAGGCGGCGTGGGGTGCAGCAGGGGGTGTAGGGAGGTGTGTGCGATGCCGAGATCGGTGCGGGGGAGGACGTGTGGGAGGGCGTGCCGATGCTAGTGCTGCTATGAGACGTGGCTATGGCTGGACTGCAAATCCACCAAAAAAAGGGAAGGAAGAAGAAGACAAAACTGTTATTGATTGTTCAGGAGGATTAAAAATACTGCACAGAACCTGATGCACTGACAGGACTTTTCAATACAATCTTTACAACCCAAAACCAAACATCAAATCATGCATAATTTTAAACTTGGAGCACTTTGGTAATTCAGCAGTGAGTAAATGAGTAAATGCCAGGATTATAAAACCAAACACACAAACATCACACAACTCACCAGGTTAGAGAATTAAAGCTTAAGAACGTGCTGCATGAAAAAACACACATCTTCATTCACTAGTTAAATAAAGTTGTTCATTTTTAACTTTCTGGATAAATCTGACCTAAACCACATACAACCCCTGGCAAAAAGTATGGAATCACCAGTCTTGGATGAGCACTCATTCAGACATTTCATTCTGTAAAACAAACTCGAAATACAGAAAAAAAAAAAAACAATAACTGCAGACTAACAAGCAGATCTAATCTGGGGCAGGTGTCCATTTAGGGAAAGGAAATTGACTGGGTGTGTCCTTATTTTCTACCTACAGTTTGAGTGATTCCATACTTGTTTCCTCAGAACTGAGTGATTCCATATTTTTCTTCCCTGTGCTTGGTCAATAAAAGTAACATTCACTGACCTCCACAATGTTTTCTCTTCATTTCTTTGAATGTTCCTGAAAGCCAACAAGTTGCACATTGGAATGACCTTATTACTGTATCATGTTTTTGATCTAAGTTTGTTTTACAGAATGAAATGTCTGAATGAGTGCTCATCAAAGACTGGTGATTCCATACTTTTTGCCAGGGGTTGTAGATTTACACAAGTCCTGAATGTACATCAATGTTATTATTTGAAAAACTATATTAAAATACACTTATCATCTATCAAAGTTAAGGATGTCTGGATGTTATTCTGGTTCACACAAACCCAAAGCATTTAAACACACACTACCATGCACTTTCTCACCCATCTGCACTCAATGGATCTGCTCTACTTCTGTCATAACAACCATATACAAGTCCAGCTCTTCCTCATCACCTGACCTGCTAAACCAATCACAGCGCAGGGACAGAGTTCCTCCATTGTGAGCCTTCTGCAAAGATCTACGCTTAAAACTCAATGTCAGCGCTGCTTCGCCTGTCAGAAAAAAACGTGAAGAGTATTTCATTACCTGGGGGAAACGGAGGTCAGCTGATCAGACGGGTGAAGGATCCTGCAGGTGGTGAAGGTGTACGTGGAGCTGGTCTGGGACAAACATTTTCCAGGGAAAAGAACTGAGAGGAGAAACAACAGAAGAAAACGTTCACATCGACACACACTGCACTTGAAAACTCTTCAAGATAAAGAGCAGAGAAACAGATCAAAGTTATAGTTGAGGCCCCCAGAAAAGGCACCACCTTAAATTAGTCTCCAGGTCTGGTTCATCACACAAAACTGATATTGGAAATAAAATAAATGGACCTAACTGGCTATAAGGCAGGGATAGGAAATGAATGAATGAATGAAAATAGTTAACTGAATAATATGAAGCAAAGAGCAGCTGTTTGATGATAAAACAGTAATCTTAGGAGTTTTGATTAATATGAACTAGATGTTAATGCATGCTGTGTAACACAACACACACATTAATATTAAGACAAAAGAACAGTGTGTGTGCTCAGAAGTGCAGTCCAGCTCCAACATGCAGCAGCCCTGGATGTCACACATGCACGTGAGCCACGTTCACACACCTCAGCTTAAACTGGATTACAGCCACGATATTTTCTGCACAACCGCTGTAAAGAATAACGTGATTAGTTTGATTCAACTTTCAAAGCAAATTGGTTCTGGTTGCAAAGAAGCCAAGCGTGGTTAAAAGCTGGGAACGTGTGATTGGCTGAAAGAAAAGTGAAGTGTGACATAATTAGGAAGTGAGTAGGAGGATGAAGCAAATTAAAGAAAAAATAAAAAAATAAAAAAAATAAAAAGTACTCTGTCTGGGTCCTGATGGCTGTGTGGACTGCTCCTGGGACGCGTGGGTAGGTTTGCCGGTAAGCAAACATGCATGGGGGGGGGTCATGCAGGAGAGGAGGAGGGACACATTACGGAGGTGAGATGTCAAGTGAATGTTTCCCCTCATCTCTCAACCTCACATCTACCTAACCCTCCTTCCTGTTCCTCGCACTCCCTCCCTGCTCCGCCCCCCGTGCTCCAGATTAAAATGAGGGTGGATTGCTGTGACTCCTGCTAGGAGGCTCCCTCACCAGGCATGTGGTCCACAGTGGTGGGCTGCAGGGCTTGGAGCTCCATGAAGTCCATGTGCCTGCTGATCTCTGAAGGGGAAGGGACAGGAGAGAACGAGGACAAACTGGAGAGGGACGTGTTGCCAAGGTGTCCGTCCTTCCTCTCCCCGGCCTCTCTAGCACCGCATATTCCTCCACCGAGTCCTTCTGCTCGGCCGTTGGCCTCAGCGTGGCTCGTCTTGTTGCAGCAGAGGGATGAAATCGAGGTAGAGTGGAGCAGGCTGATTGGATCGGAGCTGGTGAACGAGTCGCACGACGCTTCGTCCTCCTCGGGTTGGTCCAGCTGCCAGCCGTCCTCCTGCTCGTGCTCGTGAGCTAAAGTGCGGAAGCCCTTCGTGACCACGCCCGGTCGGTGATCGAGCAGAGCCCCCATGTGGGGCTGAGCCAACTGCTGCCATGCATGAAGCGTAGCAGAACCTAAGCGGGGAGAAAAAATTAATAACAATTAAAAAAAGATTAGATGTTTTTATCAATAGCAGGCAACGAAAATGGTTAAATCTGCTTTATTTTTACTGTAGGTCTGTAATACGCACACATGGAGCTTCCCACGTGGGATTTATAATAAGAGCTAAAATTGAACCATGAAAAAAATGTTTGTTAGCTATAGATGCACTACATAACAGGACAGTTTGATGAAGACTGTGGTAAAAAATATTGAAAATTCTTAGTTTTTAGTTACCTTTTTTTCCACAAGTTTATCGAAATTCCACAAAGTGAGACTTGATTTATTCAGCTTGAACCTGACCTGAATCAGATCAGTTTTTGAGGACTCTGATCTTTTTACACTTGGGTGTTATTTCTTTTTAAGGACGACTGTTTGTATGTTACCACATATCTAAAAAAAACCTCTTAAGCTGTTTCCTGGTAGTAAACCAACACAGTAAAGAGAGACAAGTATCTCCTCATGCAGTACACAGGAGTCCTCTGTACAGAAGACAAGTCATTTCATGGCAACATTTCTCTAATAAATTAAGTTTTGTGTTCTCGTTGACCTGGTCTTTTTTAATGAATGCATATTTTTTTCCCATGATGCATGTGATGCATGTCAGGAAAAACTAAAAGAGAAAAAAAAAGGATATATAAAGAGGAAGGTAAGAACATCAGTAAGATTTTATTCAAGGGTTGAAGAACAACAGAAAACAGAATCAGAACAGAAAATGAAGTAAAGTTCAAAGACAAAAGGAAAATGAAGAAATGGACACAGCAACAAATGAGAAGTGACCCAAGTGGACGGAACATGCACCACCGTGCAAAGAAAAATTACTTTGAAAACTATCCATCCATCCATTTTCTGTACACGCTTCTTCCTTTCCAGGGTTGCGTGGGTCACTGGTGCCAATATCCAGCAGTCACAGTGCGAGGGGCGGGGTACACCCTGGACAGGTCGCAAGTCCATCACAGGGCCACACATATAGAGACAAACGAGACAAACAACCATTCACTCTCTCACTCAC